TATGTATATAATATTATAATTCTTATGTATATCTATTATTATATTTTTATAGCACCATTCTAGTATTATTGTGTGTTTTATATTAATTTCAGAGCCAGTTGTTATATCATATATAAGTATTGAAATGATGATCAATTTATTGAAAACTGGACATTCTTCTCGGTGTTGTTTTATGCCAGGATTTCCCCGTTACATACGAAAGATGACATTACATGGGTACTGACAATTTATACATGTACTTTCCGAGAAAATAAACTTTGATAATCGAGGAATAATAGCTTCAAAAGGGGTCCTCGCCTCATTCTTCCTCATTATTTTGTTTCATTTCAAAATAACTTTTTTTTTTCAACATATTTGAACATTTAATTTTTTATTTAAATCTAACCTGGAATATTAATTTGAGTTTTTCTGATCTGATCTTGAGACCTAAATTTCAGACAAAATGTATTGGCACTCAGGACATCCAGCTTATTACTTTTCTTTCAAATCTGGGATAAACAACTTTTTTTTTTTACATTTTCATAAAATATCCATGGTATTATTCCAGATACCAAAGTTCAGCTTTATACGTTTCTTTCTTCAATGCCCCTTTTGAGAATTTTTCACTCATTTTAAGACATCAGCACTTGCTGATGGAGGGCTGTAAATTTTAGACCTATACCTGGCACTCAGGGCCATTGAGCATTGAGGGATCTTTTTCTTGCCAACTCCTATTGTGACACGGGACCTTGGTTGATATGACCTTATCCGAAGTACCAGTCTCCATATCCCACACTGAGATTCGAACCTGTGACTTAAGGTTCAACACTTTACTCCACAGCTCTAGAGCAAAGGCTCGAGATCTAACCACTGCACCATGCAGGCAGCTCTACATGAACATTTACTTAAATCATTTCATATGACATTAGAAATGCATTTAAAAAATTACACAACTAACAAATAAATACACATTTATTTACATAAAAAAACCCAATAAATACATAATAAAGCATATAAAGGTATCAAGTTACATGTAACAAAATAAGGTTAACATGCACAAAACCCTGATTTATCTGAAAAACAAAGCTTAAGGTGGATGTACCTGATGAGCTAAACTGATTCTCATTGACTTGCAACAAAAGCAAGTAATTTATGAAACAGTGTAGATTGTGTCATAAAAGATAGGTCAGATGCAGCATACAAAGCTGCATTAGGGCAAAGCATTCATGTGTATAGGCACACAATATGTGCAAACATGGGTTCGATACAACTTAAAGAACATCATAGAAAGGCAGCTCTATCACACTGCACCGCACGAGTGTCTAAAGCACATGTAGGGCTTATTCAGAATCCATTGCAAGCATCAGTATAAACATCCATAGATGCATTGTAAAATGTTTTGCATGTTTAGTTCTGGAAAGACATCATCATCATAACCAAGCTTAATTAACAATTAACTCATCAAACACATTCCCATGATATATTTGTCTTATTATACTTTGATTCTCTGCAAGTTTGATTTACATACCAGTTCTAATCTCTGAACAAAACTTAATTCTTTTCAATAATGCACACCTAAAACAAGTTGGTCAATCACTATTACTTTTACCTACTTAATGACACATATGTGTGACACTGAAAAAGATCAAACATTATATAGACATTAATGTACATGTATGCCTGCAAAGTTCATTATTGTTTCTATGTGTAGATGTATGTAAATGTTAATCAACCACATGAAAACAAAGCAACATCTTTTATTACAATATACAATGTTCAGCAAAATCCACATTATTTTCCTATTCCTATGCTTCCCTTGTTCCCCATCCCCCCCCCCCCCCCCCCAAAAAAAAATAAATAGACAAGACAAACAAAAGAATGGAAGACACATTATTCAACAAACTTGAATTGAAAATGAGATACCTTAAAAAAAATAAAGATTATGATCTAAAAAATGAATATGCCAACCCCCAAATATATATAAACAAATAACTACATTAAATTCCCATTACGCACCATAAATTCACATAACCCCAGATAAATAATTGAAAATAATATAAAGTATACATTACTACAGTAAATTATGATAATGCAAGGTAATTTTCCACAACCCTAGAAGCTAATAGAAAATTTCAAGTACCTATACACAGTACCTAATTGAATTCCCATAACCAATGATAATTCATAGAAAATGTCAATTGTATAATACTACAATAGATTCCCATGACCCCAGATAAATCAGAGAAAATTTCAAGTATTCAATATACTATATTAAATTCCTATAACCCCATATTCATTTATATGATAGAAAATGTGAAGACATTAGTGTGTCATACCAGGATAAATTCTAATAACCTCATGCAGCTATAAATCGAAGAAAATGTAATGACTGTACAATGCTACACTTGATTCCCATAGCCCTAGATAATTCATAGTAATTGTAAAGTGTGCAATAAAAATTTAATTCCCATAATCCCACAGAAATCATAGAAAATTGTGTACTACCTGGTATATTGAATTTCCAAAACCCTAGATTAATCACAGATAATATGAAGTGTGCAGTTATAACTAAAATAAATTCCTGTGTAACCCCAGACAAAATCATAAAAAAATTCAAGTTAACAATACAAAATTAAATTTACAAAAGCACAGATACTTTATAAAATTAACAAGTATACAATACAACAAAAAATTTACATATCCCAAGGTCAATCATAGAAAATGTCATGACATGTACAACATAACATTGAATTCTTATAACCATATGTATAATATTACATTTAAATTCCATTACCCCATAATTAATTCATAGAAAATGTCATGTTTAAAATAATTTATTAAATTCCCAAAACCCTAAATCAATAAATATCCTGTGTTCAAAACTATAACTAAACCCCATAACCCGAGATAAATCAGAGAAAATGTAATGTGTGTAATATGGCCATTAATTCCCATAACCTTATAATTATAGCCCCAGATCAATTATGGAAATTGTCACGTGTACAGTACAACAATAAATCTATAACCCCCGCTCGATAAATCAGAGAAAATGTTATATGTGTGTAATCCTACAATAAATCTTTATAACCTAGATATATTATAGAAATGCCATGTGTGTGATGCTACAACAAAATCCCATAGTTTAATGTGATGTGTAAAATACTTAACTTTAAATTCCCATAACCCCAGATAAACCCTAGACGTGTAATGTACACAAAACAATACATTAAATTCCGAAAATCAAAAAAAATTAATGACATAATACTAATAATAATGGACAATACTACAATAATTAGTTCCAAGAATGCTAGATAACTCATTAAAAAAGACAAAATTTGTGAAAAAAAAGACCAGTATTCAATACTCTATTATTCTTAAACTATAAAGTATACAATACTGCATGAAAACCCAACACAAATCCCTATAACCCAAGATAATATACATCATAGAAACTATAAAGTACACAATACTACATGAAATTCCCTAACCCCATTAACCCCGAATAAATCATAGAAACTATAAAGTACACAATACTACATGGAATTCCCTAACCCCATTAACCCTGAATAAATCATAAAAAATATAAAGTATACAATACTACATGAAATTCTCATAACCCTAATTACCCCCGATATATTACAGAAACTATAAAGTACACAATACTACATGAAATTCCCTAACCCCATTAACCCCGAATAAATCATAGAAACTATAAAGTATACAATACTACATGAAATTCTCAAAACCCTAATTACCCCCAATATATTACAGAAACTATAAAGTACACAATACTACATGACATTCCCTAACCCCATTAACCCCGAATAAATCATAGAAACTATAAAGTATACAATACTACACTAAATTCTCGTAACCCTAATTACCCCCAATATATTACAGAAACTATAAAGTACACAATACTACATGAAATTCCCTAACCCCATTAACCCGAATAAATCCTAGAAACTATAAAGTACACAATACTAAATGAAATTCCCTAACCCCATTAACCCCGAATAAATCATAAAAAATATAAAGTATACAATACTACATGAAATTCTCATAACCCTAATTACCCCCGATATATTACAGAAACTATAAAGTACACAATACTACATGAAATTCCCTAACCCCATTAACCCCAAATAAATCCTAGAAACTATAAAGTACACAATACTACATGAAATTCCCTAACCCCATTAACCCTGAATAAATCATAAAAAATGTAAAGTATACAATACTACATGAAATTCCCTAACCCCCTCAACCCCGAATAAATCATAGAAACTATAAAGTATACAACATGAAATTCCCTAACCCCATTAACCCCCAATATATCCAAAAAACTATAAAGAATACAATGCTTCATGAAATCCCTATAATCCCACTTAACTCCACATACATCATAAAAACTATTAGGTATACAATACTGCAATAAATTCCCATCATCCCAAATAACCCAGAAATATCATATAAAGTATACAATACTACAATAAATTCCCATAATCCCAATGATCCCAGGTATATCATAGAATTAATAAAGTATACAATACTGCATAAAATTCATATTAATTCAAGACAATTCAAAGAAAATAACTTACACATAACTTACCACAGAGAGAGTTATACAGTTGAATAATTAAAATAACCCAAATAAATCATATAAAGTATAATACAATAATGCATTAATTTCTATATCTCCAGATAAATCCTAGAAAATATCAAGTAAACAATACAAAATTAAATTTTCGTAACCGAAGATAATTCATAAAAATGTCAGTACAATGCTACACTGAATTTCCTTAACCCTAGAAAATGCCATCTGTACAATAATACAATAAAATTGTCAAAATTATCCATGAGAAAAAACTAAGGTTCCATTACAGACTATTCTGGTGGTTTGCTCTGCTCCAGACTCTAAGGGAATTCTTGGAAGAACACGACAGTGAAATTTTAATATCTCCGGAGTCTACCTCCAGGCCATATAGGAATTCTGGGAAGAACACAGATAGTGAAATTATCCCCGGACTCTACCTCCACCGCTCCAGTTTGAGTAATACAGGGCAAGGCTCCTTGTCCAACACTATAGAAATACAACATTAAATTATATTTTTTTACCATGATATATAAAGTACAAGTATTAAGGGTATTAATGCAGATAATAATAATAGAAACAACCCAATTTTGCCTAAAATAATGTTCTTAGTCTATAGAAACACCCCCCCCCCCCTTATTTTCATTTTTTACTGTGATATTTTAGACAAAGTTAATGATAGATAATGATAGAAACAACCACTTTTTGCCAAAACTAGGATCTTAGTTGAACAACTTACCAAGTCTGGTAGCTGCAAGATCAAATGTGACGAATGTTGGTTTTTCTATATATTCTTCAGCTTGCGAGAGGCACCAGATATTGGCTCGGTAAATGTTGACTTGGCAATTACAGACAACCTTCACCCAAAGCCTGAAATATTAAAAGAACCAAATACTTTAAAAAAATTTTAAAATGATTTAAAGGTTATTTTCAATATTATTCATTGATCTATGCCAATTCTGGAATAAACCTTCTTGAAGAGAATCATTTAAATGTGTAAATGTAATAATAATTCATGTTGATTATTAACTAACTTTATTTCAATAACTTTAATTGAATAGAAGAAGTAAATTTTTCAAGACTAGAACTGTTAATCCCTTTTTATTCACAAGAACTTTATTATCCTACAATAATACAAGTTAGACTGTTTGTTCGCGAAAGAAAAAAATTAATAAAACATAGCTCAAACCCTGTAATGACAGGCATCATGAGTAAAGCCTAGCTTTCCAGAACTATATAAAAATCTTAAATTAGAAAATCTTTCACACAAGTACATTTCAGGTGTGGATCCAGGATTTTGCTTTCCCAGAGAAGGTGCTTTAAAATGGCAAGGGGCATTGGTTCTGCTGAGGTCCCAGAGAGGCAGGGTCCAGTTGGAGGTTTGGGGAAAAGCCCCCCCCCCCCCCAAGCTCCTGATAGTTCACAATTTGTAGAATCTTATTTTAGCACATAAATGACTTTTAATCAATATCATAAATGACTGTCTTACATCAATGTAAGACAATGAAAATTATCTCTTATTTTTTGTTTTAGAGGGGGCAAGCGTATGAAGCACCTCTGCCGGAATCCATATCTGCGTTCTACGCATTTTTGAACAATACAGTACGACGTAATCTTTAAAATAAAAAATTACCATTGATGATGATCATCACTTCAAATGTATTTTGGACATTTTATGGCAAATGGCTTCTCTCCTAAGGCTTGTAGTACCTCAAGAATGTTAGGTTTGAGTTTGGACCCTCCAGAACTAATTAAATATTAAAATAATTATATTCTCGTGAATATTAATCATTCATGAATACGCATTACTACATGCAAAAGCAGAAATTTTAGCTAGGATTAAAATTTGGCATTATTTGGCAAGTGTTCAGATGGCTAAAATCGAATTTTGATATTTACCATAATGATTATATGGACAGTTGATCAAGGCAGTCCAATACATCCTGGTCAAATTCACAGCAGATAAATTCTACCAGTCTACAATTGCCACATCTGTGAAGAGAATCATGATAACAGAAGTTAGCATTACTGATAAATGCTGCTCCTTCATCTTTAAATAATTTTTTAATATGATAAAAAGTTAAATTTTAAATTTACCAAAAAATCCATCTTAAATTTTAGCTAACTCTAAATCCCAAAAAACTTCTTGAATTCTTCCCTCCTCTTCTGTGAAATAGCCCTAAAATAAAAAAAAATTGTCTTATAATTATAAATGTACTGTATGTTAATTACTGTAAACCAACTATTATTCGCGTGCAAGAAATATTTGCGAATTTCACAACCTACTTTAACTCGTGAATATTAATCACCGCGAACTATTTATTTTGCTTTGTATTTGTATAGAATAATTCCTCATTTGCAAAAATTAATCGTCATGGATCGATTTCAAACTAACGAGTCACGAATAAAAGATAACACGAATAATAGTTGGGTTACAGTATTTACATCTATACTGTAAATCACCTTTTTTTCAAGAACTTTATTTTTGTGTACTTATGAAAGAATTCTGTAAGTGAATATTTCACTCTCATATATATATTTAATTCAGAAAGGATCAATTTGTAAATCATTAACTAATTTTGTTAAAATTTCACTTTGCAAGAATACATGCATCAAAAAATCATCTTGCTAAAATAGGGTTCACAGAATATTTTTGATCTACAGACTACATTTAAATTAATTACCTTGTAAGAGGTATTTTCTATAAATCATAATTTTGCTTACAATATCATTTCTTTCACTAAGGCCGTCATGTTTTCTTTCTTCATGTTTCCCTCAGCATATTTCTCCATAGCCACTCTCCTCTCCATTGATTTCAAACTTCTGGTATGAATGGTGGTAAATCTAAGGTCAAGTTAGCAGGATGTTCATTAGATGGGGATTACCATCAGTGTCGATCTTGGCTGTAAGAGACATCTACTTGTCATTCTTTTGGTATAATTTAATTACATTGTACAACAGGATATTAATACGTACATCATTTATTCCCACAAAATCATGGTTAAATAGATCTTTTAAGAAAGCTCTTATAAACATGCATGAAAATGTTTTCTGATCTCTTTTAAGAAAATCAATAATTATATCATATAATTATGAAAATGTAGATTTTTATCTTCACCTTTGACAAAAGGTGCTTGCCGTATTTCTCCAGATAAAATGTCCAAAAAAGTATTATGGAACAAAAATCACTGATGTTTACTAATTCATTAAGGAAATATACATATGTTTTTTTTTAATAAGATCTTTATCTTGGTCCAATATATTATGGATACAAGTAGTCATTTTTATATTGTGTCATTTACTGTAAATTGTTTCTGTTTATTCCATTTCACAAAACAGGGCAGATCATTCCAACTGCGTAACTTCCTTAGAATCAGAACTCTTCAGTAAGAAGTGTTCAGAGCTTCCTTAATTAACAAATTTGCAAATAACATACCTGCACTGGCTTCTGTATTTATACAAAAACTGGTATCGCTTCTCGTCTTCAGCACCTTCACGTCTTCAGTCCGTTTCCTTTGCCTCTTCTTGTACAGTATTCTGTTGGGTCTCAGATAAAAACTGAACTGAACATGTATATGCACACAATTCCAGACTCATTGTGACCTTAACAGTTTCCTTGCTTAGACAGAGGTCAGCATTTACAGTTCCATGGCCAACAATTAACTTTCAAGAGCATCTAGAATTTCTCCACTCCATGGCATTTTCATTACACACCCCATATAATTCACAGAAAATGTTGTTTGTACAATATCATGCCAAATTCCTATAACTTCAGATCAATCAGAGAAAATGTCATAAATACAATGCTACAATAAATTTCCATAATCCCATATAAATTGTCATGTGGCAATTCTACAAGAAATTCCAATTACTTCAAATAAACCATAGATAGGACAGTCATGTGTACAATACTACAATAAATTCCAAAACCCCAAGATAAATTACAGATAATAACTTATGTACAATCTAATAAATTCCCATAACACCAGATATATCATAGAAAACATCACACGTACAATACTACAATATTTTCCCCTAATCCCAGACATATCATAGAAAACATCACATGTGCAATACTTAAATTCCTATAACCCCAGATATATCATAGAATATTGTCATGTGTACAATACTACAACAAATTCCATGTGTACAATACTACAATAAATTCCCATTACCCCAGATGTATCATAGAATATTGTCATGTGTACAATACTACAACAAATTCCCATAACCCCAGATGATATTACAGAAAATGTTGTGTACAACACAACAGACCTGCCTACCCTTTTCATTGCAGAAATGTAGTCTAAAGCTTAATTTTGGTGGAATTTCAGAGGCAAAAGCATAATTCTTCAAATTTTACAATTTTGTCATCTCATTGCATTTCTATCTCATCTAAACAATTCTGCCTGCTATATATCATAAAATGAAGAGAGTAAAAACGTTTTTAATCATTCATTATTAACATTAACTTCATTTGTTGTAAAACGACGACATTCTAACATTCAGACAAATCTTATCATTTCTTTAACCTTTATGAAGTAATTGGTCAATTGCTTGTGATAGTCATTAAGTCATTGCAAATTACAGTTTACATTTAATTACAACCTACTAGCATTAAATTGAGCGAGAAGATATTCATTAAATTGTGTTAAATACTTCTTGAGCTTATGGTACTGTTAAAGTATAATACAAAGGAAGCAATAATCATAACTGACCAACATAAAAATATTACATAATGCATTTTTTCAGCATAAAAATTTTAAAAGCATAAAATTGATTGTCATGGCATAACAACTTATTTTAGCTTTAGAAAGCAGAAGAATTATGCCAAAAGTGGAAGGGTTGCCAGGTCTGATATTACAATAAATTCCAATAACCCCAGATATATCATAGAAAATGGCATCTGTACAATGCTACAATAAATTCCCATAACCCCAGATATATCATACAATTGTCATGTGTACAATACTATTGTTCAATAAATTCACATAATCCAAGATATATCAAAGAAATGTCATGTGTAAAATACATGTACTACAATAAATTCCCATAATCCCAGATGTATCATAGAATACTACAATAAATTCCCATAATCCCAGATATATCATAGAAATGCCATATGTACAACACTACAATAAATTCCCATAATCCCAGATATATCATAGAAATGCCATGTGTACAATACTACAATAAATTCCTATAATCCCAGATATATCACAGAAATGTCATGTATAAAACACTACAATAAATTCCCATAATCCCAGATATATCATAGAAATGCCATGTGTACAATACTACAATAAATTCCCATAATCCCAGATATATCATAGAAATGTCATGTATAAAACACTACAACAAATTCCCATAATCCCAGATATATCATAGAAATGTCATGTGTATAATACTACAATAAATTCCCATAATCCCAGATATATCATAGAAATGTCATGTATAAAACACTACAATAAATTCCCATAATCCCAGATATATCATAGAAATGCCATGTGTACAATACTACAATAAATTCCCATAATCCCAGATATATCATAGAAATGTCATGTGTACAATACTACAATAAATTCCCATAATCCCAGATATATCATAGAAATGCCAAGTGTACAATACTACAATAAATTCCTGTAATCCCAGATATATCATAGAAATGTCAAGTGTACAATACTACAATAAATTCAAAAATAATCCCAGATATATCACAGAAATGTCATGTGTACAATACTACATTAATTGTTGATGTTGATTCAATGTGTGCATCCCAATGCTAATTCTTATATTCATAATAATTATTAAAATATACCTGGTCAAGTTTGGTTATCAGAATAATTTTTAATTCTCAATCTTTTTGTCAGATGAAACTAAAGACAGTTTAATCCTAAACAATAGTCAATGATAAGCCTGAAAGGTATACCTCTCAATATGCAGCTTCTGAAGTGTGCATTATATAAAAAAAAAGCATTTATAGGTTTGCTGCAATATCTGCAGTATAAACAATGCATTTATAGGTTTGCTTTAATATCTGCAAATTGTATTAATGGGACCTGAAGCAAACAGTCAGACAGACAGACAATGATCTACAAATTACTTGTATCTTCAATAAAAAAAATACATTAGTTACTGTCTTTAAACTGAAAACAAAAAACAATATATGCAGATTAGTTCCAATTTCAATGAGAAAATACAGTTACTGTTTATAACCTGAAAAAAAAACCAAACAAACAAACACATGATCTATTCCAATAAGTTTCAATTTTAATGCAAGAAAATGGATATATATATTGTCTTTCACCTGAAACACAAAAAACAAAATATTATTTCCAATTTCAATGAGAAATACATACAATTAGTAACTTCTTGAACCTGAAAAAACAAAACAAACAAAACAAAAAAAATCCACTATCTATTCAAATTAGTTCCAAGTTCAATAAGACAATAGTTACGGTCTTTAACCTGAAAAACAAAACACAAAATCTGTGCAAATTATTTCCACTTTCAATGAGAAAATACATACAGTTAGTAATTATACTTCTTAAACCTGAAAAACATAACACACAATCAATTCAAATTAGTTCCAATTTCAATAATGACAAAAAACTGATACAATTACTTCTTAAACCTGAAAAACAGAACTGAGAAAATCTATGCAAGTTAGTTCCAATTTCAAATGAAAAAATACAGTTACTATATGCCTTTAACCTGAAAAAAAAAAACAAAAACAAAAAACAAAACAATGTATTTAAATTAGTTCCAATTTCAATGATTCAGAAAAATACACTTATTAATTACTGTTTTGAACCTGAAAAACAAAACACACAATTTATTCAAAGTAGTTCCATTTTTAATGAGAAAATACAGTTACTGTCTTTAACCTGAAAAAAGTTCCAATTTCAATGAGAAAAAAATTAATTATATGCTCTACAATCTGAAAAACAAAACACACAATCTAGGCAAATTTAAGTACCAATTTCAATGAGAAAATTAATATATGCTCTACAATCTGAAAAACAAAACACACAATCTAGGCATATTTAAGTACCAATTTCAATGAGAAAATTAATAGTTACTGTCCTGAACCTGAAAAACAAAACACAATTTATGCAAATTAGTTCCAATTTCAATGAGAAAATAGTAGTTATACCCTCTTTAATCTGAAAAACAAAACACACAATCTAGGCAAATTAGTACCAATTTCAATGAGAAACTTAATAGTTACTGTCCTGAACCTGAAAAACAAAACACAATTTATGCAAATTAGTTCCAATTTCAATGAGAAAATAGTAGTTATACCCTCTTTAATCTGAAAAACAAAACACAATCAAGGCAAATTAATAGTTCCAATTTCAATGAGAAAATTAATAGTTCTTGTCCTGAACCTGAAAAACAAAACACACAATATTTGCAAATTATTTCCAATTTCAATGAGAAAATACAGTTATGGTCTTTAACCTGAAAAACAACACAAAATCTATTCAAATATTAGTTCCAATTTTAAATAGAAAATATACAGTTAGTAATTTCTTTAACCTGAAAACAAAACACAATCTATGCAAATTACTTGCTATTTCAATGAGAAAATGCAGTTACTGTCTTTGACCTGAAAAACAAAACATACAGTCTATGAAATTAGTTCCAAATTCAATGCAGGACATTAGGAAAGAAGACTTTTGGATGGAAAAGGTAACACTATAAGCTGGGCCTTTTCTTGGCATTCTGAAAAAAAAAATACAGATCTTTAAATTTTAATATGTCAGCAAATGCATACATCAAATACATTGATATTTATGTAAATAACTGCACTGTTAGAATACATGATAGATGGGTCTGGTATATTTATAAATCTAGCTCTAAATCCCAAAACATGACCATGGTACCTAATTTTAGCCCATGACAGCCTTTCAGTAAGATATATATATGCATCAACTGCCGAGGTAAACTCTGAAGGCCCTTGGCCTCAGTGAACAAGATATATGCATGATCAAGCATGCGACTATGCATTGCCATAAAATTCCAAAATGAGGCCACAGTGACCTATTTTAGGTTGTAAAACACCTTGTCCAAAGGTGCATCAGCTTACAAGGTAAAATAGTCCTAGGCATCAAAATGCACAAGTTATGATAAAGACATAACCATGATAATTGCCAAAAAATGTGGCTATGGTGACCTTCTTTACCCAAAACAATATCAACTGACAAGTGTGAAAGGAAAACATCAAGTTATGACAAGTATTTTGAAAATTTCTCAAATGAACCATGGTGACCTATTTTGGGGTTACAACACCTTTGCTGAAGATGCATGAACTGACAAGGCTGGATGCTCCTAGGACCATAGTGCACAAGATATGACCATGACACAATTTGACCATGCATAGCCAAAACATTCCCAAATGAGGCCATGGTGACCTACTTTTGGGTTAAGCTACATCTTCCCTCAAGATGAAAGAGCTAACAGGAAGTAATGGTTCTAGGCAATACAGAGTGTAAGATATGTGCATGCAGGTCACATAAATGCGGAGATGTATGGGAAGCCAATTAATACAATAACATAATTAAATGATGAGAATATATAATATATACTATATACATGTGCATCAAAACTACTCAAGCTGTCCTAATGGGACTAAATAAACATCAAAAGGCACATTCAAAAACATGGCCTGTATATACACCATACTTGCATTGAGCAAACATTCTATAGAATACTGTCTGGGATATAGTGGGTAGGTAATCCAATGAGCACCCAGACAAAAAGCAGACGGAACACTCCTGACCATCACTGCATGTTTGGTAAAGACACCAAAA